TATGAACTTGTTAACTTAAGTCTACTAAAAAATCTTATTTGTTATAAAGTCTATTTTTTGTCAATTTTACCAGACTATCTATTTCTTTTAAAAGTGAAGTAAAATTAAAAATTAATAACTCATAAATTTTTAGAGTTTTACTAACATTACAAAATTTTCTCTCATATCTATCTATATCCATATATAGGTAGGGACTATGATGGTGTTTCATAAAAAATAATTCAATTCAAACGCAAAAAATAATACCATTCAAACACAAAAAATAGTAATATTAAAAAAATATTAATAATATTGAATATTAATATTTAAGAAAATAATAGCAGTAACATGCTCAAAATAATAGTAACATGAACAATAACATACTCAACAAAAATAGTAACATAAAACATTCAAGCCCAAAAAATAATAATATTTAAAAAAAAACATGTAACATATAATTGGCACGATTGTGGATAGACAAGAAAACAATAACATGCTCAATAAAATAAAATTGAACAAAATTGGGGCAAGTACTCAGTACAAAGGAAGTGAATATTTGACAAAGATTTCGAAGTTTAATTTTCTCAAAACCTTTAACAAAGTTCAAAGTTGCGTACCTAATCCACCACCTTTACAAAAAGAGATTAATGATCCAATGATCCACCAATTTTTCAAAGAGCCTTCTTGTGCTGAGCCGTTTAATCATCAAATTCAAATACATAGATAATATGAAACAACAATTTAAGCTTTGAAAAACAGAGAAAGAACAGACAAATTATTTTTTTTAAAATTTTAACCATATCTGCAGAGACGAGTGAAAATGGTCTTCTTGTGCCAAGCTGTGAACTAGTTTCTCGGTGGATTCAACATCATTTGCAACCACGACAATGTCGCCACTAGCTAGCCGGAGAGAGAAACAGGGGGGAAAGAGCTTTGAATTTGAATTATAAATTTATGATGGAAAGACATATTTTAATTGACATTGAATTAAATGATAACAATTTTTAAGATAGGAAATTAATTTAGCCTCATTTCAAATAAGGATATTTTTAGGATTTTAAAAAATAATGGACTTACATACTTATTAGTAAGATAAAAAATGAACTTATCACCAAATAAATTTTATTGACAGACTCAAGTTATTATAAGTTCATCAAGAATGACTCAACCTCAATTTTCACTTAATTATATGCCTAGGACCATATATGGCCCAAACTTACTTGAAATGACTCACATAATGGAGATTGGTAGTTCTCATGTGGGCTTATCAATAATTCAAATTTTTGAATTGAATCTGGATTTAAATTGGAATAGCCGAATATGATTTAATTTTTTCTGATAATCCGAATTTGATATTTGATATTTTACAAATTTGGATTCGAACATACATATATTTAGGAGTGTTCACCCTACCCTACGGGTAGGAAATATAGTCTTTCGTCTTCCTACCCGATACTTTACGGAAGAATTTTTTCATATCCTACCCTACCCGATCAGGTGTGGTATTCCTACCCGATTAATCGGGTAGGAAGTCGGGTAAATACTTTTGTAGTCATTAATTTTTTGATCATTTTAACAATTCATTTAAATAACATGTATCAACTTAACAACACAATAAATCAATAAAACTAAAACCTAAAACAACTACAACAACAATTATAATAAAACATAAGAAAGCATGAACATCAATCCATCATAATTGTTAAACAAATATAATAACAATTATTTTAAGTTTAAAATATATGAAACACATTCAAATCATAACTACTCTAATAGATCATTAGTTCACCACAAATCATGTAACCTACACAAAAAAGAAGTTCATGTTTTAGCAACTCAAACATCCACAACAATGATAATGTTATAATATAAATTATACCACATAAATACTCTTATAATTACTAAAAAAAATATAAAAAAATTAAACATATTTTTTGCGGGTAGGGTAAGGTAGGAATGCAGAAATTGATGGGTATTTCGCATTCCTATCCGATTTAATCGGAAGATCAAAAACTCTTTCGCATTCCTACCCGATTTTTATGGCTAACCGTTAGGGTCGGGTAGGGTAAACAATTACGACCAATCGAAAATTTGAACACCCTTACATATATTCGATCTAAATTATTTATATATAAATATTAAAAAAATTAAGTAACTCTTTAAATAAATTTAGTTGAAAATTAAGTACAATTTGTTAAAATTTAGTTAATTGAGCTATTCAATCGGATCAAAGTTTAACTAAGTCCTTATTACATATTTTTATTTTTAAATATTATTTTCGCTTTATTTTGTTACCGTACACGGCATCGTTTCGAGAAAACATTTGAGGTAATTTTTTAAAATTTTTATTGTCATTGATGCATCTAATACATATTTAGGGGTTCCATATTAAACCTATGTTGATTATATAATATCTAAACATTAGTTTGCATCTTTCATTGTGTTGGATTTGGGTTCTCAAAAATAAATCGTGGTCCCCATATATGTGATATTTTTTAATCAAACCCCAAATTATCTTGCGGAACCAAGTTGAATATAAAATATTTTTTATTTTATTTTGATATATTTGTTTAATGTTTGACTTTCTACTTGTTGTTGGATCTGAAAACGATATAACTTTGTTTTATGATTTTTTATGGATGCACACTATTGATGGCAAAGGGTTAGTATACGCATGGTTCTTCCGGGGATTCACATAATTTATACTATTCATTGGGTTCATTGGTTAGTAATATTGGTTGTCTTTGGTAGCCTGTGTGGCATCACATAATTTCCGGTATTGATGTAATGACATCGGGTTCCTAATTTTTTTTTGGAGACGGTTCATGTGTGGACCAAAAAATTGACGAATTGCTATGATTGATATGTGCTGCATTATGTTGATTCTTTAATTTGACCTATTCTTGCATTTACTTGTTGTTCAATTATATTATGTATTATTTTAAAACTTTGATAATGTAAGTTCATCCCTATGTAACATTTTTCATAACACATGAAACAAATCAGAGGAATAAGGTGGAGAGATGACACGTAGAGAGTATTATTACTATTTATTTTTATGTCATATCAAAACGTTTTATTTGATCTAGTGAGGATCATGTTATTTTTATTAACTCGAAAATATAACCGTATGCATAATGTAATAATAATATAAAGAATGTTATTATAAATTATATGTAGTTTTATTCCTTAATCATGCCCGATTAATTTTTGGAAAAAAAATTAGAGCACTCTTTAAAATTTGAACACCTACAATCTCCGATAAATTTAAAAATATTAGTTAAAATTTATTTATCAACCAGAGTGGAGCCTAAAATATTAAAGTTTATTGCGTTAAAACCACTCATGCGAGTCAACTTTTTGAATTATTGCATTCCAATGAATTCATAAAAAATAAAAACAAAATAACAACAAAATCATATAAAGATTTATATCATATTTGGTAATTTTTTTAACTTTAGTATTAATTTACATATATTTTAATATATTTAAAAATATTATATATATATAAAGTAGTTAGATTGTTTGTTTTAAACTTTTTGTGACTCAGATTATTTTGGTTTTAAATTGAACTTTCATTTTCTTTTACAATTCTAAGTCTTCCACCCCTCTCTCTCTCTCTCTCTTTCTCTTTCTTTCTCATACTATTATATTTTTTTGTTGTTTCTTGAGTTATTTTTGTATTTGGTCAATTACTTTTTAATTTGTAAATAACACTTAATGTAAATAAAAAATAGCACATTGACTATAAACACCAAATAATATTCAGTACAAAATGAACCTTATATTGTAAATTAATATATAATTTTATCAAAAATTAACATTTAATTTTGTCTAATTTATATTCAACTTTGTTGAATTAATATCAAATTAATTTTTATTGTTATCAAATTAATATTGAAATTCATTTAATCAATTTTTTGGGTACAAAATTAAACTTTATTTGATTTTTATTTTGTTGGTACTAAATTTAGAGAAATGCAATTGTGAAAATAATATATATTTTTTAATGAAATTACCAATTTCTATAGCAACACGAACGGAAGTGACTTATAGGGGTTTCCGTGCAATGAATTTCGAACCTCAGAGAGTGTCCATGTTATTTATAAAATGTCAAGCTCGTGTAATATTACTAAAACTCAATAGATGTACGTGACTTTTACTCTATTTTTTAATTAAGTATTAATTTATTATTATTTTATCTTCAAAAATTGAATTATTGTATTTCTAATAAAAACAATTATTAGTAACAAAAAAAATAGTAATTGTGTTATGTTAGTATTTTTTTTTGAGGTATTTATTACATGGGAACATGATGAATTGAAAATATGGTGGTTGAATTTATATTTATGCTGTGTTATTAGATTTAGTTGTAGTAGAGGTAATAAATTTTTGAGTTTTATAAATGAGTAAAATTTTATTTATTACTTAAAGATTGTAAATTCTAACGAGTTACGTTAATATTTTTTTTTTAGAAGCATTTGTATGTATAGTGTTATTTTTGAGAGTTTTTAAATATTTTTATGACATAAGATATAGTTGACGATACATTTCGAGTCATTTAAAAGAAGAATTAGGATGAATATTTTTATATCAATCCTTTTGAATTTAGGGATAAAATTTAGGGCAAAAAAAAAAAGAAATATAAAATACAAAATAAATTGTTACTTCAAAAATATCCAAAAAGAAAGTTACCAAATCTTAAAAAATAGTGAAGATCTTTAGAAAATATCCAAAAAGAAAGTTACCAAATCTTATAAAACAGTGAATCTAACGGTCTCTATTCGTTAATTACGCCACGTGTCTACAAAGAATTGGTACCGACTACCGCACGCCACCCCTCACCGCCTTTCTTTTACCCCGAAAAAAAGACTAAAAGAATCTTCTTCACACCACTTGTTTCTAGTAGAAAAATATCTTCTCTTTTTCTCTCCTCTTCCAAACCTCTAATTCTCAATTCTCTTCTCCATGTATGTATGTATTTGGGATAATTTTTGGGAAGGATCGATCGATATTGAAATATGTTGGAAGATCAAGTCGCGTATCTGTTACAGAGGTATCTTGGGAACTACGTTAGAGGTCTCAACAAAGAAGCTCTCAAGATCAGTGTCTGGCGAGGTTTAGTTTCGTTCTATTTCCATTACTCGCTCTCTTCAATTTCAGTGTTTTGTTTTTATTACCATCTTTCCATTAAATTTTGATGAATTTGTGGTGAAAATATATTTTTTTTTGCGAGAAGAGATGATTGGTGCTTGTGGCAGTCCTCTGAAAAGGGGATTTTCGAATTGGGGTAGGGGGTTAGGAAGGTGGGAGTAATGGGGTTTTGAAATCTTGTAATGTGGGTGGACAGTTAATTGATTGTTTAGCCACACCATCATCACCTTTGTCATCAATTTGTTATGCGAAAGTAAGATCAAACACATTATCCTATAAAAGATAAAGGCCTAACGATGATCACAACTTTGAAAAATTCCAGTTGTTCACGTTATTGGTTTCAACTATTTGTAGGACTTGATGGTTGTTTGCTGTGTAGATTAGGACTTAGTTGTTATCTCCCAACCCAAACAGATGCCTATGGACTGATGGATATATTAGGTCGGCATCTTATTTTATGTGTTTTTTTTGATTGGTTGGTACTTTTTGACTTATGCTTTGAATTTATCACAGGGGATGTAGAGCTAACAAATATGCAGCTAAAGCCGGAGGCACTCAATGCATTGAAGTTGCCTGTGAAGGTTAAGGCTGGATTTCTTGGATCGGTGAAGCTAAAGGTTTGTGAAGCTGATTGTAGTCTAGTTTGTCACTGACATTGAAATGTTATGTAAGTTGATTAAGATTTCTTATGGCTGAATGAAAGATATATGCTATATAACTCTATCTACACAGGGAAATTGGTAGCTTAAATATTGTTCTCAATTTGCAAGCATGTTCTTGGACATGTGGAGATTGATCTGTTTGTAGATATTCTTGCCATAGATATTATATGATTTTTTCTCATGTGACCAGTACTCTATATGCTAAACAAGAAAGGTTGAGCCCAGTTGACTTTTCCTTGGATACTCTAATTTATTTTATCAAGCAGTAAATTATCAAATTTAGAAGTAGAGTGGAAGTTAATATTTATTCTACCTCGAAGCAATTACGTCTATACTCAGTCGAGTTGAGTTGATATGCATAACAATTCTTCTTTGTGTTTTATGAAAATGTGTAATGGTATGTCTTTTCTTAAGTATTCTGAAAGGGTTATATATTCAAAAAAAAAATTAATGGCATTGTGCAAAATGCAAATAAGTACTTGGACATATCTTTGGAGTTTGGTCTACACCATAACAGTAAATTCTACATTCCTTTCTTTCTAGGGGGAGAGTTGGGAAAAGAATTTATGCATTAGTGCTTGTGAATGATATTAAGTGTTTTTTTTAACCAGAACAATTTCCAAGATAAACTTCACAAGACTCTAAAGTCTATAAATCCCTGATAGTTTGGAGCTAAATTTTATTGTTGTAAGTTTCTAGAAGCATTTTTGTTATATTTCTGAATTACAGGTTCCTTGGAGCAGGCTTGGGCAAGATCCTGTTCTAGTTAGTCTGGATCGTATCTTTTTACTAGCTGAACCTGCAACCCAAGTTGAAGGATGCACTGAGGATGCTGTCCAAGAAGCTAGAAAGAGCCGAATACGGGTAAGATATTGGTATGATATGCATATAGACAGATATTATTGGCTTATTATGTCTTGAACAATTAATAAGTTAGTTGTTTGCAATAGGAAATGGAAATGAAGCTGTTGGAGAGTGGACAACTACTGACGACAGAAATGGTATGTTTTCTTCGAGATGTTGAAAGGTATTTTTCAATTTCCGCTTGAATGATTTGAATATGTGGGATTCTTTGGTTGCATTACTCGATTTCAATGGATCCTTCGTTACCCAGAGGAGATGGTGCACTTGCTTTTTCCTTCCTTACTCTATCATCTGATTCTCCTCTTTCGAGAGGAACTTCTGCGACCTTCCTTCTCAAAAAATTTTCTGGCTTCCCGATACATCTTCTTATCTCTCGTTTGTTTCGACTTGGAGAAAAATGTCAACTGAATTCCATCAGCTTTGGTATTAAGAACAAATTCTTGCTTGACGAACTTGATTGCTTTCTTGATCCTATGCAGTAGCATTACCCAACTTTTCTTGAAGAAGAAAGATACCTGTAGATGGCGAATCTACAGCTATCATTGTTGTGTGTTGACGTGAAGATTATCCCATATAATCTAAAGCTGGAAAAGTGATATGTATGGAATTTCTATTGCTTTCCAAAAATGGTTTTTTTTTGTGTACCGGTGACAGTTACTACTAATACTGTTTGTCCTTTTCCATGTTGTATTTAGAATTTCTTTTTCTCCTGCTATCATTTTTATTATTAGTCGGAGCCTTTAATTTTATGCTGCCTAGCTTCTGTTGTTTTTCTGCTGATATGAGTGTGGAATTTTTAGCCCTTGCAGTTCATCTTTGTTTCCGTAGATGGGATATGAATGTATAACGTTGCTAAATTTGCCTATAGTGGTGGGATCAATTTTATATAAAGCAGGGGGTGACAATTCAATGCTTTTAGTTTCCATCTGTTACGTTTTACGCCAAGAAGAAAAGTTGATGCATAATTCTTTTCACCGTGGAAGAAATCTATAGCACATAATTATGGTGGAAATTGTACATCGAGAGAATTGCCTTCAAGTAGTTATAAGCACCTAAGATGATAAGGCCACCCAGATACACCGTGAGAGGACTGAGAGAATGAAGTAAAACTTTAGGATTAAGTAATAGTTGTAGATTCTTTTGTAAAACTGCCTGCCTATATACTGTAAAGTAGGTTATAAAATTATAAGTGTTCCTAAGTATTTCATCTTATGATAAGTTTTTAATTGGAAATAAATAATAGGATATTTCCCTATACTGATTGAATGCTGAGTCATGTATTGATTGAGACTAGTGCAGAGTTGAGTCATAGATTGACAGAGAGTTGAGTCGAGTCGAGTCGAGAAGACTGCATTGTAGGATACCTGGCCACATTTCAGAAGCTGCAATAAAATTTGCACAGATGTGGTTAGTTGTTCTGCACTTTTCTTTGTTGTCCTGAGTATTCTATCAAGTGGTGCTGAGGTTTTAGTGGCTTATGGGTTCACTTTGGACTAATGTGGTGAGCTGCTGCTACACTCACGCTTCCAGAGCTCTGTGTGTGAAAATTTTCAGGGCTTTCTGCTCTTTCTATTTGTTATTCCTAATACTTGACATTCTTTGCAAAATTTCATTTTCTATTTGTTGTTAATATAGTTTCATGTTAAGTATGTGCTGATAAAAAATAAACAGGTTAGGTGAATTACTTGAAACACAATTATTGAGCTTCTACTCTCGAGTGCTTTTCTAGGGAAATCTTATATTTTGTGTTGATCAGGATATTGACCACCTTTTGTTTATTTTGTTTCTTAAAGAATAAATCGTGGCTGGGGTCCTTGATCAACACAATTATAGGGAACTTGAAGCTTTCCATTTCGAATATTCATATAAGATATGAGGACCTTGAGAGGTAAGTCCGAACGCGGATTTCTTGCAGTTAATTGCTTATGTTGTAATCTTATGAATTCCATTTTGCAGCAATCCTGGCCACCCATTTGCAGCTGGCGTGACACTAGAGAGACTGTCAGCTGTGACTGTTGATGATAATGGAAATGAGACATTTGTAACAGGGAGTGCATTAGAGCATATCCAGANAGCTTTGGTATTAAGAACAAATTCTTGCTTGACGAACTTGATTGCTTTCTTGATCCTATGCAGTAGCATTACCCAACTTTTCTTGAAGAAGAAAGATACCTGTAGATGGCGAATCTACAGCTATCATTGTTGTGTGTTGACGTGAAGATTATCCCATATAATCTAAAGCTGGAAAAGTGATATGTATGGAATTTCTATTGCTTTCCAAAAATGGTTTTTTTTTGTGTACCGGTGACAGTTACTACTAATACTGTTTGTCCTTTTCCATGTTGTATTTAGAATTTCTTTTTCTCCTGCTATCATTTTTATTATTAGTCGGAGCCTTTAATTTTATGCTGCCTAGCTTCTGTTGTTTTTCTGCTGATATGAGTGTGGAATTTTTAGCCCTTGCAGTTCATCTTTGTTTCCGTAGATGGGATATGAATGTATAACGTTGCTAAATTTGCCTATAGTGGTGGGATCAATTTTATATAAAGCAGGGGGTGACAATTCAATGCTTTTAGTTTCCATCTGTTACGTTTTACGCCAAGAAGAAAAGTTGATGCATAATTCTTTTCACCGTGGAAGAAATCTATAGCACATAATTATGGTGGAAATTGTACATCGAGAGAATTGCCTTCAAGTAGTTATAAGCACCTAAGATGATAAGGCCACCCAGATACACCGTGAGAGGACTGAGAGAATGAAGTAAAACTTTAGGATTAAGTAATAGTTGTAGATTCTTTTGTAAAACTGCCTGCCTATATACTGTAAAGTAGGTTATAAAATTATAAGTGTTCCTAAGTATTTCATCTTATGATAAGTTTTTAATTGGAAATAAATAATAGGATATTTCCCTATACTGATTGAATGCTGAGTCATGTATTGATTGAGACTAGTGCAGAGTTGAGTCATAGATTGACAGAGAGTTGAGTCGAGTCGAGTCGAGAAGACTGCATTGTAGGATACCTGGCCACATTTCAGAAGCTGCAATAAAATTTGCACAGATGTGGTTAGTTGTTCTGCACTTTTCTTTGTTGTCCTGAGTATTCTATCAAGTGGTGCTGAGGTTTTAGTGGCTTATGGGTTCACTTTGGACTAATGTGGTGAGCTGCTGCTACACTCACGCTTCCAGAGCTCTGTGTGTGAAAATTTTCAGGGCTTTCTGCTCTTTCTATTTGTTATTCCTAATACTTGACATTCTTTGCAAAATTTCATTTTCTATTTGTTGTTAATATAGTTTCATGTTAAGTATGTGCTGATAAAAAATAAACAGGTTAGGTGAATTACTTGAAACACAATTATTGAGCTTCTACTCTCGAGTGCTTTTCTAGGGAAATCTTATATTTTGTGTTGATCAGGATATTGACCACCTTTTGTTTATTTTGTTTCTTAAAGAATAAATCGTGGCTGGGGTCCTTGATCAACACAATTATAGGGAACTTGAAGCTTTCCATTTCGAATATTCATATAAGATATGAGGACCTTGAGAGGTAAGTCCGAACGCGGATTTCTTGCAGTTAATTGCTTATGTTGTAATCTTATGAATTCCATTTTGCAGCAATCCTGGCCACCCATTTGCAGCTGGCGTGACACTAGAGAGACTGTCAGCTGTGACTGTTGATGATAATGGAAATGAGACATTTGTAACAGGGAGTGCATTAGAGCATATCCAGAAGGTTACATTATCTTCCAATTATGAATCCAGTCAGACAGCATAATTTTTTTTTTTTAGACTTAGTTTTGAGTCTTTATAATCATTTGCAATACATGCGTACTACATTGCCACATCATGGTTGCAAATAAATCTACTGGCTGTCAGATTGGCTTGTTCTGCTGCTTACTATGTTTGTTGTGCTGGAATATGCCTTTTCTATAGTGCACATATTTTCTCAAGTTAACATGGAGGTATCCATGCCTCCAAGATTGCGCATTACATCCTTCGATACATATGCAGTTTGGCACTATTGGATTTTTGAACTTGAATTCCAGTCTTTTGAAGTGGGCTCCTGGTCATTGTGTTCTCCTTTTCTGGTGTTAAGCTCACATATCAAATATTGAGTTGATTCCTTTATTGGGGATACAACATTCACTTTTATACACGATTGTTCTGCCATTTACGAGAACTTCATTTGGGTATGCCATTTCCAATATTTTAATCGTTTGGGGCAAGTGGTTGTTCAACATGTTTTTAAGGATAAAACTACTTGATGTAAGAGCTTTGATTTGGGATGTGATATACTTTGAAGTCTCTGTGACTGTTGAATGTGTGTGTCTCGGCTGCTCCATGCTGGAGGGGTGCCGTATTTGTTGGCGTTTGAGAAGTTCTCAACTTCAGCAATGTTTGGGAATGAGCCAACAACCCCTCCTGCATGGTTGTTTGGCAATGTTTACCAACAAAACAATAATAGAGAAATCTGATTTTCAAATCACAACTACCATACATTTTCATTTTATAATAAGTTTTCCAGGGATTTGATATGTGCTGCTATATCTTTGTTACTTGCTCAGAATTGTTGGTGGTGTATTATCTTGTTGTATACCTTAATTATATGTATCTTTTCCTTGTTTTTATTGAATGTTATAGGATTGTGATTCTGGGGGGATGTTATTCATCCTTTCCATCAAAAAGTTCAGAGAATATTTACGAAGATGCGATCAAAAATATCTGTCTCTGTTTCCCTTTTCTTGCTATACAACTTTTGGTTGTTTGGTTCTTTCTTCTTGCTGCTTACAGAATTCTTTTTTTACCATTTTACAGTCCGTAGAACTTGAACAGCTGGCTGCTTATTTGGATTCTGATATTTGTCCGTGGCACATTAACAAACCATGGGAGGATTTGCAACACTTAGAATGGGATCAGGTTTGTACTGTTCAATATGGTTGCCCTACATTTGGCTTCTTCAAATCGGATTATTCATGATTGGGTTCCCATGAGCTTCAGATTTTCAAATTTGGGACGAAGGATGGCAAACCAGCCGATTCTCTTGTTGAAAAGCACTGTTACATTTTGCAACCAGTGACCGGAAATGCAAAGTACTTGAAACAGCGTCCATATGAATCTGCTAGTATTGGTCAACCTCTACAAAAGGCTGCAGTGAATTTGGATGATGTGACACTCTGCTTGTCAAAGGTTGATGTTACTGCATATTCTTTGGTTGTTCTAGGGATGAAGTACAAATGATATTGGCTATGTTGTTTTTTGTTTTGTTTTATTTTATTTTGCTGTTGGGGTTTTGCAGGATGGTTATAGGGATTTATTAAAGCTGGCTGATAATTTTGCTGCCTTTAATCAACGCTTGAAATATGCTCACTACCGCCCACTTGTCTCGGTCAAAGATGATCCAAGGTCTTGGTGGAAGTATGCCTACAAAGCTGTTTCAGACCAGATAAAGAAGGCTAGGTACCTGCTAATTAGTTTTTACTTTTGTTTCCCTATGATTTTTGGATTTAAAAATGGTTGGGTCTGAGCTTGTGGTGATAGAGGCTTCCTAAAAGTCCATGAAATGGTTTTTTACTGATATGAGCTCTATTAAGTTGGATGCACTGACGATATCATGGAGGCATCTCCCTGCTTCCCTCCGTGTTTATAGGTCTCACACATAAACAACAGACATACCTGAAAGAAATTAAAAAAGGTTATAGTTATTCTGTAGCTTTAGAATGACCGGAAGGTAAGTTTGGTATTGAGTGTAGAATTATTAAGTCTGTTCATAATGGGGATTATATCATCAGTGGCTTGAGTCATTAAAGCCTTATATATGGTTCCGTCTGTTGGCCAAGCAAATCCAATTTCCCAGGTCTCTTCTGCTGTTGATCGTGTGCCATCATGTCTTTCTGTCTTCCCTTTTTAATTGCACTGCCATGATGCATTTCTCCTTTTCTTGCTTTCTTTCTTTCTTTCTTTCTTTCTTTGTTTTGATCTAAGGTTCTGTTGCACCTGTGTTCTTTTTCCTGGTTGCTCTTCTGACTTAAATCAAAATGATGTTCGCAGGACAATAATGACCAAAATGTATAAGACAGCTCTTGTTTATATTGGTTTTGTAAAATTTTATCTTTAAATTCACAAGAACTCTCTGGAAGCACGTCTGTACTCTAACCATAGTGCTATTATTTTGTGTTCAACTAAATGTTCATTTTTGGTTAGCTCTTATTCATTTATTGTCTTACATTTTCATCAGTTCTACTCTAATTATTACTGAAATCACTTTTTCTATATGTTTTATGTATGTGCTGTATGCCTGCCTATCAGGGTTTTGAAAATCGGCTGTTAGCGTAGCACCCATTACGTAACAGTAACGTTGAGCTCCGATTCTGTTACACACTGATATAGTGGCTAGAATGAATTTCACAGCCGTAACGGCCCCGTAACTGTCGTAACGGGCGATAAGGGTAAAATCAGGACGATTTGGCCCGTTACAAACCAAAAATTGATTAGAGGTCCCTTGCATTTGAAACCCAGATTCAGTCGAGTTCTTCCTCATCTCCCTTCACTCAGATCAAGATCTACACACAACCAAATCTAGAAAATCCTTCGAATAGATACAAAGAAGGCATTAAACCCACTTATATGTTCCAGATCTCAGTTTTTGAGGTTATTTTTGGATCTTTGATTGCATCGAACCATCGAAAGGCTCGAAACCACAACTGTCGAATGGTTGTTAAGGTTGCTTTCGAATCTTTCATTTTGGATCTGTTGCTCACTGCTTGCGTTGAATGGTGGAAGACGAATAGCGTGGTGGAAGATGAATAGTATAGTGGAAGATGCATCAAACGGCCAGGCTGCTTCAGTCTCCAAGCCACCACTCTTGGATTTTTTTTGAGACATGATGTGCTGTTTTGTTTTATCTTTTATCAAATATTTTTCCTACTTTACTAATTATTGTAATGGAGTTTTTGTGGGTTTCAAAATTAACTAATTTGTTCATTAATTATTTTAATGAAGGTTCTGTTGGTTCAAAAAAAAAAAAATGAATGTTATGTGGGCTCACAATTTAAGATATATTGTAAATACTTTTAATATTTTATTATCATGTTTATAATATAATAAAATGCACTAGAAATCATTAAACACTTTTTTGTATGCTTTGAGTTGAAACATGTAAATCATGTTTTATGGATGATTGTGAGTCGGAAAAAAAAAATTCACGCTTTCGGTTTTCATTACCGTTACGTAACGTCCGTTTCACCCTACGTCTATTACACCATTACCGTTACGGTGGCCGTTACCTTTATCAGAACCATGCTGCCTATATCTAGTTTACTCTGCAACTTTTTTATTATAGGTTTGTCATTGTTCTAACAGAACATTAATCCATGCTTCAGTCTTGACAAGTGGGTCATACACTTGAAAAAATACATTGTATGTTTCATTCTCTCTGCAAATACATTGAATTCAGATGACATTACTTCAATGCTGATCCTTGATGCAAGTTTGTTGCAATTGGAAAAGATTTATTCTTGTTGTTGATTATTGCATCATTTGATTTGTCTTGAATCATGCCAATCCATTAAATTATACCTTTATTGGGTGTCCATGGATATTTATTGTCACGTCTATGTAAATCCTATCTTCCGCTTAGGGTACTGCAATCTATACAGGAGGGGCGATCGATCCCACTTGGCACAGAACCACCTAACGGTGGATCTTTACTCCCTCAAGACTTGATTCTTATTTTTCTTTCATCGTTCATCCTCTTTTGTACTAACAGGGAGTTTCGAGCAAAAGCAACTCTGCTCCGGAAAGAAACAAAGCCAGTAGGTCTTTTCTGCTTGACTGCTAACTTAGAGTTTAGGAATATAGCTTGTATAATTTTATTGCAATAATTATTTGATAAATTCTATCCCACACAATTCAAGGCATTCTAGATTTTTGAAGCGTCGCCACAGGAGCATCTCTTTGGGAATGGATTCAATATGAGCATTCTTGGGATTCCTCAGCTGGGAACATTGTTTTCCTTGAAGAAAATGAAAGAAAGAGAAAAATGGTCCAATAGTTGCCATTGTAGGCCACTAATTTTGGGAGTCACCCATAGTCCAAACATGGGTGCTTACATTTAAGCATGTGCAAAGTATGTGCTTAACACGCACTATTAGATAGTGTTTTGCTTTCTTTCTTTATTCTTCTACTTCTATTTTCTCCGGTTTGTTGTGTTTCTTTACCCCAACTAATGTCAATCTACTTAGATTCTTCACATAGCTCAGGGTGTGGAAATTGTCTTCTTGCCAGTTGCCACCCACTTCTCTCGTTTTCAAATTCACCTCCAATCATTTGGGTTGGTTTGCTTTTGATTGATGTGCTTCTTTGTAGTATCAATTGATATTACCACAAAAAAGTTACAGCAGGTAGGTTTAGTTGGTAGTGCTTCAAAGAATCAATTGAACACAAGTAGGAATGGCTTGGGAATTGGAAGGCGAACATGATAGGAGAGGAGAAGACAGTATGCTTTGAATGTACTCAAATACCAAAAACAAAATGTGCTATGCTGGGAATGACAGGCATTCTAAGGTTAAAGAAGGGGCTTTGAGTGCTTAAAAAATGGTGTAAAGAAAGAAAGTTATGGTGAGAAAAGGAGAAGGTTAGTTCTCTGACCAGACAAGGACCGTGTGAATCAAAATTATTTTATCCTTAACTATTTGTTGTGCACACATTCTCTCTCTTTTTCTGTATAGGATTTGTTTGGACTTGCCTCATTTTTCCCTCTCCTTTCTTGTCTAAAGTTATATAAGAGCTTTTTGTTTTTGTTCGTGTGTTGCATGAAAATTTGTTCTTTATACTTGTGAAAATTGTACATTACTGCATTATTGTGGAGATCATCCTTGGAGAATCTACTTGTGTCAGCTTTGAGGCTTGCGAAATGTTTTTGGCTGAGTGTTAAAAAAAAAAAATCCTTCAATATTGCATATTTTATTCCCCTTTGTTATCCCCTTTCTATCCTAATGTATACTGCAATGCTTGTTTTCTTGTTTTGGTGGTGCCTTATTAATAACACCAAATTTGAGTCCTTTGGGTGGCATTGCGATTGCCAATCACCCTCTCTTTCCATGGCCTTGTACAAGTATTAGTTCTGTCTTGTTTTGGTGAGGGGACTGCTTGGCCCTGAATTTTCTTTTTAGCTTCCGAACATATTATTTTCTTGCTAAAGGTAATTTGTTCACTCTTATACATGTGATGGATGAGGCATATGTCTTGTATGGCAGTGGAAAATTGTCGTGGGAGCAGGTTCTGAGGTACACACGTTTATCTAAGAGATATATAGCTCTATATGCTTCACTGCTGAAATCTGACCTCGAGCGGGCGGTAATCGATGATAATAAAGAAATAGAGGAACTAGATCGTGAACTTGATATTGACCTCATACTTCGGTGGAGGTATATTCCATTCTTTTTGAATCTGTCATTGTTACGTATGATTAATTGGCAGGGTGGTGAAATTGTTTGGGAGTGACCAACCCATGTATGTAGCATGTTCCATTTAACAATTTCTTGCTCATACCTTGGGTGGACATGCTATTATTTTTTTCTTTTTCAACTTTTATTTTCTAGTTTGATGTTGGGGGAGAGGAGTGGCCCCCATCATGAGTACATCTCTTATAGTTTAAATATTTAATTTATATATATTTTTTTTCCGCAAGTCAACAAAACAACGTATTTTCTCAGTTATTTGAGGCAGTTGCATGAATCCTGACCTGGCTTTGTGCCGGGGTTATATCTTTTATTAAATAAATTTCAGGCTATCGTTTTCGTTTTTACTATCTCCGTTACAATTAATTTTCTACTTATACACCCATTTATTATAGTCAATAAGTATGACATCATTCTTCCTTTACGTTGCAGTAAGTCAGTAATAGGCTTTCTGTAGATATTTCTGATCTATCTAAGTCGGTTCTCTCTTAATTTATCTCCAATTGATGCTACTTTTGACGTGTCATGAATATACTCATTTCTAATTCTATTCAAATTGCTTTTACTATCCGTCCACTGTTTAACTGTTTTATCCTCAAATCGATATTACAAATCAGGCACATTTGAGCATGTTATTTCTTGATTGTCCAACATTCTGGCCCACAAAAGTTTACCTTTCTAATGATTGTCTTATAGAATTTATTGTTTAGCTTAAGATTACTTGATTTATTTTATTTTCTCAGGAGGATGTTTTTTAGTTGCCCAACATTCTATTCAATAAAACCTTGCTGCCCAAAAGGCTTGTCTTGTAGATTTTGCCTTTCATTTTGAGAGATAGACGTCAATCACTTGATTTATATCTTATTGATGATTATTCTTTCTTCTGCTTTCTATATCCATTTTTTTGGAAGGAGGCTTCTGACGTGCCCATTCATTAAACTATTTAAATAGCAGTATGACAAGATAGATAAAGGAGCCAATAAGTTCTTTATATATTTGACCATACTTCTAGTAAGAAATTACTGTTTCAATGTTGTCTGATCTTTGTTGTAATTAACCTACCTACTGTTATTAGAAGAGATTGCTATATCCTGGTTTTCGCAGGATGCTGGCTCACAAGTTTGTGGAGCAGTCATTGGAGTCTGACCTCTATTTGAGAAAACAGAAGTCAAAGAAATCATGGTGGTCATTTGGCTGGTGAATACTTTGCCATAATACTAGTTCCCCCCCTCCTTTTGATATTTTTTTTTGCCTTGGAGCATCTTTGGATTTGTAGGTGATTGCATGTGCACTCTTTCAGGACAAATCAATCTGTTTCGGATGAAAATGAACCAGGGACTTTTACGGAGGATGACTGGGACCGGGTAAATAAAATCATTGGCTACAAGGAAGGTGATGATGGACAGTTGCCGATGACTACTGACAGGGGAGATGTGCTTAATATTTTGCTAGAGGTTCATATGAAACATAATGCTTCAAAGCTTGCAGATACTGTTGAATGCCTTGCAGAGCTATCCTGTGATAATCTTGATTGTTTTATGAAGTTCTATTCAGAGACAAAAGTTTTTGACATGAAATTGGGATCATATCGGTTGTCTTCACCAAATGGTCTTCTTGCTGAGGTCTTAATATTTCTTTTCATTTTTCTCTGGAGTTGCTCTCTCTTTCTACCTACCTTGGGGTCCTGGTTACATAGTCATATGGCATCCCTGATTTCTGTGTCATTTTCCATGCAGAGTGCCACTATCTATGATTCGTTAGTTGGTGTCTTCTGCTATAAGCCTTTCGATGCTAATGTGGACTGGAGCATGGTTGCTAAAGCTTCTCCCTGTTATGTGACTGTAAGTTATCATTCCATTGCTCTTCAATTATTGTAGTACTCTTCGTAAAATTGAGCTTTTCAACTGATAACATGCATTTGAACAGTATCTGAAAGATTCCATTGATCGCATTATCAATTTCTTTGAAAGCAATGCTTCCGTAAGTCAGAACATAGCTTTGGAGACAGCTGCTGCAGTACAGGTTCAGTTCTATTGATGCCTTGAATATGATATCTTCACTAAGGCTACGAAGTGTATGCTTTTACCTCTGTTTTTTAATGTGGCCTTTTTTTTGGGTCTAAACTGAAATGGGGTTTTAAATCCCAATTTCTTGGCTGTTTTTCTGTCTCAAGGTTCAGAAATCTGAGCTAAGCTGGTTCTGATCAGACATCACAGGATTGTTCATCCCACTTTAGTTTAGAATAATAATAATGCTGAATTCATTCTTTCCAACAGACTCATACCTTCATAAGAACAGATGAATGAGAAAGGGAGGACAGATAGGGATTTTTTTTTTTTGGGTGGGGGGGGGG